TGCCTCTGGTACTTGGAATTCAATCTATACTATACTTGTCTAGTCAAATCTTGCTGAGAAATGTTTCCTAAATTTGTTGCTTTCATCTCTAGATTATACAAATAATTCTGAACATTCCTATTACCTTGTTTCAAAGTGTTGAACTCTTTCCACAGTATTTCAGCAAAGTTGGAAGGGAAACAAAAGTCTATAAGTCCTCTAAAGAATTGAGCAAGTGTCCATCTATGCTCATGGTTTGTAATCTTTTGCAAATAGAAATTCATTACTTTTCCCTTAATAAAACCTAGTATTATCCCTACTTGGCTCTTAGGGAAATGATGAAGTCCTGATTGTTTTATGTACTGATTGACTTTAATAACAAACTTTGTGTACTTCTACAAGTCTGGTTCACCTGAGTATACTGTAGGAGCTATTAGTTCTGTACTACACATCTGTATCTTTAATTTGAGGAGTTCTTTATTCTGTTTCTTCCTCAAGTGTTTCTTGCACTTCTTAGTAGCTTTAGTATTACTCAAATCAATGTCTGATAGTTTGAATAAAGTATTACTTTGATTGTTGTTATTGGATGAAGAGGAATCTGAATTATCACTGTCTGAGTCTGATCCTGGGTCAAGATTTCCCTTTCTCTGTATTCTGGAGCTCTGTATTGCTCTGTATGTATAGCTATTCTTTACTAGGCTCTCTGAAGGTCTTACTGATGCAAATCTGTCTTTCTGAACATTATTTGGTGCTTTACTATGCTTGTGTCCATTGTTTGTTCTTAAACTACTACTTGAGCTATTCTTATACTTACTGTACTTGATATATAGCTTTGAACTGTATAGTTTGCTACACTCTGAATCAATATTGTTCTCACTAATACTACTAGTGTATGCCTTGCCTGGGACTGCTTTCAATTGCAAAGTATTACTATAGGATTGTTTGTTCCTTTTATTTTCACAAGGGGTACTCTGATGTCCTGAAAAACTTGGTATTTCTATTTGAAACCACATATATCTAGGTATTTCACTTTCTCTCTTATTCCTGGACCTGGCTAGGGTGTTGTATCCATTGTAGTACTCCTGTACATTGCTCCTGTGTAATGTGTAGTCAATATCTACCATGTATAAGGTTAAACACTTGATTTTATAGGTGTATGCTTGATTTTTGCCCTCTGGATCAAGTACTGATTCTTGTAGTTCTAATATGCATTCACTTTTGCTATCCTCAAAGTACTGTTCTGTAAATGCAATGTCCATTTCACTTGGATAGTCTGAATTAATTTCACAATTGTATTAAATGTCTGACAGTTCCAGTTTTCGTTCTGTTCCTTGTACTTTGTGTATTCCTCTTACTTTACACTTTCCTTTTGCTTTCTACAAATGTAATTGTATGTCTAGACTCTTGAGCGTTTCTTCTACACTCTTGTATTGATAGTTCTGATCTCTACTGTCTGTAGGTACTGTAGCATGTCTGGCTTTTGTTCTATAGCTTGTCTAAAGTGTTTCACACTTTTCTGTTACTATACTATCAAGTCTGCTCTTGTTTGATGAAGGAGTTGCTTTCTCCTCTTCCTGATACATTCTATTGAACTTGTACATTCTCTTATTCAAATCTTTAATGTCTATCAAACTGTAGAATGGGCTAACATGTCCTATGTCTATCTTAATTGCTCTGACTCTTACAATGTGTCTGAAGGTCTTACTTACCTTCTGGAAATCTTGTTCCTCATCAAATCTCTGTAGTTTCAATGCCTGGCTCTCCTAGCCTTATCTATTACTCTTGTTCTTCAAGTCCTAGCTACTTTCTTTACTACTGAAAAGGGTCTTAAGTGTCTTACTACTCTCTACATTACTGTTGTCAATGTGTTTCCATCCTAAAGTAAGTGTGCTCACTAGATACTTATCCACACTCTCACTAATACTGACTATATACACAATGTACTCTTTGTATTAGCTAGCAAATTCCTTGATGCTTACTGTTAGCTCTCTATATTGACTTGGTGAATCCTCAAACCAAATTGCCTGTCCTCTATTGAGTGAATCCTCAAACTCAGTAGTCTGAAATCAATTGAGCAAATCCTCAAGCTCAATTGCCTATACTCAGTAAGTTGAATCCTCAAACTCAACCTTCTGTACTCAATTGGACAAATTCTTGAATCCAATTGCCTAAGTGTTTCTACTCTTTGTACCACTATTTACTATTCCTACAAGCTCAGTAGTGTGAGTACTCACTGGTTTCTACTCTATAGTACACATTTGACTAACTATATATGCTGGTACAATTACATACCTTAGTTCTACATTATTAGTATGTACTAGTTCATTAGGGTGCCTCCAGTCTTGTGTAGACAAGGACTTATCAGCTGGAATAAGTTTATTAGGTTGCCTCCAGCCTACAAGGGACAAGGACTTACTTTCTAGCATGTTAGTATCAATATCTGGACTTGGGTACCCTCTGGGAATTGTCAGTCAAGGCTCAGCAGCCACATTGTAATTAATATCTAATGGATAATCTTGTTGTCCATTGCCTGTAAACTCAATACACACCTGTTTGTTCCTTTTTACTGTCATGGATGCCTGGTCCTTGACCCATCCAATCAATGTAAACCTCTAGCATATCCAGCACTAGTCTATATCAATATGTGCTAATGTGTTCCAGAAGCATTCCACAGCATTCCAAAGCATTGTGAACCTACTAGGGGCCAATCTAGTAAGTAGTCTCTGTTTCTACTCGAAAATTGTAACTTTACTCACTAAAAATTTCTGAGGGGTACTAGACAACAAGGGAGACCTAGGGTTGATCAGACCCTTTGGTTCCTCAGTGTCTAGCAAGGGGTTTCAGTGCTAGGTGGGTACAGTCAAAAATATGTAAGGAAACTCACTGTTCCTCACAAGAGAATTCTAATTGCCCTTAGTTCACTCAACTACTGACTGGGATAACCTAGTACTCAAGTAAGGGGTTAGGAGAAAAGAATCCCCTTTACCCAGCAATTGATACTGTCTTTTATAGAGTAGTACACATATAGATACATGAGGAGAAAGTGTAACTAACTACAATGAGAATATATGTGCTTGTGGGTCCCACTGTACAATGATCTGACACAATCAGCAATGTAGTGATAATAAAATACAAACCAGTAAATCAAATCCTTACAGTATGTGTTTCAGTTTATTTTCCTTAATTATTGTAGATAATGATGTATTGTACAAATATTTTAATATAATTGATTTTTGTTATTTTAATAATGAATGGATGTAAGGGAAAATTATTATTATTAAGGAATAATAACTATGTATAGTCTGTAAAACATTACAAATATATATTACCCTTTCAAAACTTGGTAATCCTTACAATACATTTCAAAAAAGG